AAATACCGACGTGGACGCGCGTATATCTTTAAGGGTAGTTTATATCGCCGCGTTATTATCCGGTAGTTTATATGGCGCGTTATTAACCGAGGCAAAATATGAGCTCGGCTGCCAACACCGATAATTCTTTCCTTTTATGGACTAGACTTGGGATAGGGGTTGAAAAATGTTGTCGAAAAATGTCGAATAATAGATACCAGTTTGAACGCGAATTTTCCTTCGATCACCACGCGACGACGTTGCGCGTTTCAACGTTGCGCCTGATCGATTAAAAGAAAAAGAAAAAAAAGAAGAAGAAAAAAAATAGGATAGTACACCACTTATGCGCCATTCGTAGCAACAACAAGTCCCATAGAAAATTCTCATCCCTGTTTGGGTTACGATAGGACTTGTGAAAGTCTCTCGATGCAACGAACAAAGTTTTTCGCGGTGATTTCGCGCTGGAATACTGAGGGGGGATGAGAGGGGAGAGCAATATTTTTATCGCTTTCCACGGTGGTGAGAACGTAACGGGCGCAATGCATGACGGAGCGACGGGGTCATTGACAATAATAACAAGGTTTTTATCGACGCAATTTTCCACTGTACGAACAACCCGGTTAATTTTTCCTCGCGGCTCGGAAAATTCGGTGATCATTGACGTTGCTCTAAAACGCATGATTCTTCTCGCTTCGCGAACCATCGTCATATGTATATGGCGTGGGACATGAAAATATGTTTGCATACGTTTCTTTCGGATGAATGTATTCATGGGCAATCATCGGTGATTTATTGGACAGCTGTGATGAAAATTGTTGTATTGAATAAAGTTGTTTAATTTCGAAGTTGAAGTTCGAAACAGAATTTTTTTTTTTTTTTTTTTTTTTACGCGATGATAAATTTCTCTTCGATCGATTAATATAGTTAGAACTCGAACTTTTTTCAAATTAAAGGCTTAAGATAACTTTTAGATCAATTTATCACTGGTAAGATGGTTTCAACCAATATTCTTCCAGAAATAAATGTATCTATCGCTCTTGAATTTTACTAAACCGTATTAAAATTAGAAAAACTTTGGACCGCTATAACTCCGAAGATATCGACTTCCGGTGAACGAATAAACGATCATTAGAAGCGCGAAACCTTGCCCTTTAAAACACTTTTTGATTTATTTCGATACGACTTTTAGTTGCCGAGATATCGTCGTGTAAAGAAAAGGATAATTTTTAATCGTTTACTATTTTCCTCCTTGTCCCTTATTCGGATCTCTCGCTCCTCTCACTGACCTATCTCAAACTCGAGATAAAGAAACATAATAGCGATTCCTGGAAGGATGTAGTACTCGTTTCTAAAAATAAATGTAGGTCGCTCAGTCGCGGGCCCATTCATAACTTCTTTTCTGTACGAAGCGCTACGAAAACTTTGAATCCTTATATCTCGTCAACCGATCGAGATATCGGGACGAATCAAAAAGTAATTTCAATGGCATGCTTCCCTCTATATTCCGAGTAGATTTTTATGACAAAATTTATAGTTTTCCTTTACGATCCATCATGATTTATCATTTTTTCCTAGCTTCGATATATCATATTATTTTCACTACATTCATCATTGAATATTAATTTCATCGCTCGTACTTCGTAATTATTTACACTTTGAACTTTACACCAGTTCTTTTAATCATATTCTCTCGATAAATAAATCAATATATATATATATATATATTATATTTGTGTACATTCCCTACGTTCGTAATTAATAATTCTCACGAGCCATGATAGAAGAATAACAATACGTAGCAATAACAATTTCATTAATCTTGTTATTACCGAGTTTATAAGTACGGAAGCGGGCGAAAGATTTTACGTGGGACGTGATATAAAATATTTTAAACAAAAATAAAACGTCGCGTGAGCTCAATTTTCAGGCTTGGGGACTCGGCTCGAGAGAAATATTACGTAATAATATTCCCAATTAAAATCACTTTATCCGCGAAAATCTGTCCCGATTCGCGCCGCACCGCGCAATCGTGTACATGTGCGCTCGAATTTTAATTATTTCGGTTACACGGGGCGCGCCGGGGCTGCCTGTTTATCCCCCTCCCCCCGTCTCGAAACGATCCCGCCACCGGAGATAATTAAATGTGGATTATCTGACGCACGTTCGACCGCCCCGTTCGTCCGCGCTAATTGGGCCAGAAAGAAGACAGTTATCGTTACCGCCGGACGGTAACAATATTTCGCGATAACGAAGCAGCGCGGTAACAGCTCACCTGGAGCAAATTATTAGTACGACGACCCTTAACCCTTTCTGTACCGCGCTTTCCTAGAACGTAGTCACTATTTATGGAGTACATATCCAGTGAGCCATTTCCATTTAATTCCATGAAATTTATGGAATGTAAACGAATGATTTTTTTTTTTTTCTAACTAGCTTAATCGTTATTATTATTGTTTTTGAAATAAGAAATAGAATTTTCGATTTATTAGTAACAATAATAAGTCTGATATCCGAGATGGGGATTAAACCACGTATGAAACGAAGAGTTAATAGAGGAAGAAATTTTTTATTCTATTCTATATACGTAAAAATCGTATACGTAAAAATCGTTTTCAGATTACCACGTACTTTGTTCCGAAATGAAAGGGATGAAGAGGGAATTTGTATAGGTATGTACGAACGCGAAATGAAAAATGGGCACGAGTGCGAATGAAATACAGGGTGAGATAACAATCGAGAGGGGAATTGCTATAAACAATGAAATAGAAATAAACACGATCGAAATCTGAGGGAATCTCGTTGTTCGTTATCTATTTTACAAAATTATTATTGTATTTTTAAAAATTAAATATTATTAAACAATATCTTTAGACGGGACGAGTTTGTCTCTCGTATTAAGCTCCCATCAATTTAAAAATGTAACACAGTCATGTGACAAATATCCTTTCGCATTTTGTATATATATCTCCATGGATGGAATTTAATTCCGTCACGTCTCGTAAAATTTATCGTGCATCGGCCATAAATTATTCCACGTTTATAAAGAAAAAGGGGGTCACGAAAGTGTCGTAAAAATTGCAATACTTTTGTCATAAGTTTTGTTTAAAAAAAAAGAAAAACCTATTACAATTACACCTTTCTTAAACTTAATCTCCTAAACCATCGACCATTGTTGTAAAATAGTACTCGAACTACTTTTCGAACTTAACATCGAGTATACTTTTACGCTCGCTTCTTACATCCAATTATCCACGGTACAATTCTCTTATCGATCGACTCGAACTCTCACAACAACAACAACAACAACAACAACAACAAGAGTAAAACACCTACGTTTCTTTTCGCGAGAAGAAACTCTCCAACAACGTGGTGCTACGAGGCTCAAACAACCGTTTCAATACGGAAACTTAGCCACTAGACTTGTTCTCAGTAACGAAAGGGTTAACTATATTTTCCCCAAACTCTCTCTCTCTCTCTCTCTTTCTCTCATTCTTTTTTTCTCTTCCCTCCCTCCTCTCTTCGGTTCCGGGCACCGGCTGTTTCCGGGTTTCCTCGTTAAATCGTAAGACGCAACAAGTGTTGGACGGATTATGTCTCGAGGCAAACAAATGAGATCACCGTGCCAGGATAATTCTTCGTCCGGTTAATTAATTAACTCGGGGGGTGGGTCGTTTCGTGCAACCGCCAGAGCGCTTCGCGATCCCGTGAGGATTGCCTTTCTCTCCGCTGTTCGGATCGAACAACCGTGATTGTTCAACGGATTAATTGCGGCTGTATCGCCAGCCCGCGATATCCTTTTTCCAATCGGCTGAATTTCCAAACGCGTTTTCGTTATAAATCATCCTTAATCGATACGAATCGATTACGACGAAACTCGGTGAAATAAAATATTATCAGAGTTTTTTTTATTATCGAAAGATCCCGTTGCTCGATAGATTTTCTCTTTATCTGGTAATTTATTCAATATTTTCTCGGGCAGAGCTCTCGATATTTTAACGGTTAAACGAGGTTTTATTTTTTGGGTAAATATAGTAATAGGTATGCGCTATATTTGTTGATCGAATATTGCACAAATGTTACGCGTAATGCGCGTTACGGATATATCAAGGCTAGGACGGTAGATGGCGATGAGTGTTATTTCCGATGAGTGCGATTCCTTTCGTTATTCCTATCTGTATACAACGTATCATTACGAGTGATAAATTTGTAACGAAGAGAGTCGAAAAGAGTTAGCCAGTCGCAGAAACTATAATAAAACTGTTCACGTTTCCTCTACATATATATATATATATATATATATATATATATATATATATATATATATAACATCCACGCAATTTGAAGTTGGTTTCGAACTTAAAAGTTTGCTTACACTTCGTGTTGGCCGGTAATGAACCGGAACTTCGAATCACGAAAGTCGAGTTACATTAGCCAAGGAACTACTAGCTACTTATCCTCTTACTTATACAGCTTCGGTTTAAGCGTGCTGATCTTTAAGAAATTCTGCCTCGACGGATTAGAGTGGTGTACGCGATGGAAATTTAAAAAATTTCGTTTCGAAATTTACTTTCAAATACCTTTAAAGCAGATTAAAATCTTCCGCCCTGTTCAATGATTGAACAATCTGATCGAGTGACAAAAGTACAAATCCGTGTCGTGCGCATCCTTCGATACGACGAGCGATTACCAATCCCTTCCCTGTTTTCTACGCAAGCGACACGTAGACGTAGAGAAAAAGCGACACGTGCACGTGTCCAAAGGAACGAGAACAATTGCTCGCCTCGAGTCGCGTTAATCTCGCGATTGTCTACGGTTTACAGCGGCACGATGTCGTTCGAACGCGACAGCTTCGAGTCGGTTTGTCACGTGGTCCCGTGCGCTCGTCCGTGCACTTGTCCAATAGCGTTCTAACAACCGTGGAAACGGGAACGAGGTTGTTCCTCTTCCTCCGCGTGTACGTGTATACCCGTAAGAAGACTACTGTCGCACATTGAACGAGCGGCGTTTCTTTTGTTTTCCAGGCAGACCTGTCCTGCCAGAACACGAAGCAGACCGTGGGCGCGATTTATACGCGCACGAACTTCGTGACACTGAAATACGTCACCGACTCGTGGGGCACCCTCTCGAACGGCTTCCGCCTCGTTATCACCGCCGTCAAGGATCCGAGTGAGTACATTTCTCCATGTGATAATTCCTTTCTACTCCTTTCTACTTTCTTTTTTTCTAGCAATCGTGCTTCCCTTCGTTTTTTTTAAAGACGCGTTTTTTAAAAGAGGTAGTTGAAATCCTTTCTCTCTCTCTCTCTCTCTTTCGAAAAAGAAGAAGAAGAAGAAGAAGATGGTCGATTTTTGAATTAACTTTCGTTTCGCGTTATCGCATTCGATGGAAGAGCGAGTCGAGTGAGATATTGTTCGTACTTGTTGGAGATGAAATACTTGGAAAAGATTATTCGTCGCGTGCTTGCCGCCTGCGTGCAACGCGATACGCGGGGAAAAGTTTTTGGCCGTTTCGCTAAGTAGAGACGTTAAGTTTTACTTACGGAATCGTACGGGCGCCCTGTTTGTTTCGCTCGAGTTTGTAATTAAAATTTATACCGATGAATTTTTCATCGTTCTAATAATATTTGTTCTAATAATTTTTGAAATTTTATCCCCTTTCGAAATTTCGAAAGTTTCGTTGATTTGCGACTATGATACATCCCATCTGCAATTTACGCGATTTACCGCGAACAAAAGAAAGGAGATGGAATAATGGCTTCTTGCAAATTGAAGTTGAACCAGGAGAAGATGTCTGATTAAAGAATGAAATGAACCGCGAAGCTTTCGTTCCGTATGACTTTCTGAAAGGAAATTAAACGACGGTCCTCCCATCTTACTTCAATTCGTGAAAGCGAATTTTTTCTTTTTTTTTTTCTCTTTTTTTTTTTTTTTTTTTTCCTTTTGGAGTATGTTCTACTTCGGTTGCCTCGATTTAATGAAGTGCTTAATGCACCGTGATTAAGAGAACCGGCATGGACGAAACACTTTATAAAATAGTCTCCACTCTTTCGATAATAACGGTATATCTTCCCGTTTTCGCGTCATCTACCAAGTTATATATATATATATATAGAGAGAGATGGTCTTGAGAGTTTAATCTCGTTAATGCTTTTCACCAGTAATTTCGATAATTCAGTAATTTATAATAAATATATTACAATCATGCTACAATCGTGAATTTAAAAAGAGTATTTTTAAAATATTATATATATCATATTTAACTAAAAAATATACATAAATCTAATAATTCAAAGTTAATAAAAAACCGAATTCTAGAAAGATCAAAGTTTACTGCTTAAGTTTATGGAAGATTGAAATGGAAGAAGAATTGATGAAATAATGTTCTTGGAAATTTTTCCAAAATAAAATTTCCGTGGTAGGGAAATTTCTTTTTCCAAATGGGCTCCCTTAACCATTCAACCTCAACCCAACGTTCTTATCTCCTATCCTAAAGTTAAATTACCCGAAGCATCGAAACATCTGCAACCATTTATCCATCGATCGATGGATAAGCCATCGCAACGAATCGAACGGATAAGCCTGGCCTGGGAAAAGGAGAAAGAGGGAGGGGGGAGGGGGGCAATTACGAAGTAGCAAGGACAAACCGTGACGGAATAATAAATAAAGCGGTAATTATAATTAAACGTGGGGGTGGGGAGTAAATGAAACGGTAAATTAACGAAGCTTCCTATTAACGATCCCCAAATTACCGGCCCGCTCGTTATTTCGCGTCGTGGTCTCAATGCTCTCTCTGCCCGGTAATTTTAAATTAACGCCAAGCCGAAAGATAATACCGTCATCCGCTCGTGTAAAATCCCCCCCTCCCCTCCCCCTCTCTCGGTGGAAACTCGGTAAGATCGGTCGAAAATCCCGTGGAAATTCCCGTGCTCTGTAGCACCGCGATAAATTAAAGCCAAACTCGCGGAATTTATTTCCCCTATCTCTGTCTCTCGCGAAAAGTTGGACTCGAGAGTGACGGAGGAAAGAGAGAGAGAAAAAATAAACCTGGTTGTTCGTCGTATCGTATCCAGCAACTGCCAACTGCTTGCATCCCCTCACGCGTAATTGGATAACGCGCTTCTCGCGTTAATCTTCTTGTTCTTCGATGTTTCTTTCGATGCTTAGATACGATTATACGCAAGATCGGGACGGAGTGGGCTCTGCTTGAAAATTCCAATTTTAATTTCTAATTTTAATTTCTTTCGGAAGGATGCGAATTAGGGGACAAAGGTGACTCGATTCGATAATTTGAATGGTGATTATGCGTGTAAATAATAATGTTATATACGCGTGTCACGCGCACCTGTGCGACAGCTACGACATAAATTGTTATATATAAAATATTGTTGCGCAACAAATTGAACGTTTTGGCGAAATTAATGAAAACGTACGGTATTTAAAATGACGTAATATTCGGTATATTGTTTTGCGCTGCGTGGAACAACGTCGGTGTGTCTCGAAGTATTATTTATTATTTTAGAGATGCCGTGAGAAATTTATGGGATGGATCGTTTCGAAATCGTGCTCGAAATTGTAAATGAATTTGTGAACCCGGTTTCATAAATGTTTTATGGATCGAAGATGAGATTTAAAAAAAGAAAAAAAGTGTGTCAATCGAACGAGATGAGATTTCTCTCTCTCCGATACAAAATTTCCCTTCGCTTGTGCGGGGAAACGCACACGATGGAAATTCTGTTTATTTTACGAATTATTAATAGTTGTTGTGAAAAATGTTCGGCTCGTATAACAATCGTGGCAATGAATCAAGAATTCGGTATACGCGTTTTAACACATACTCTTTAAAATTCGCATATCGGTTGAATAATTCATGACACGGCACAGTGAAAACTCCATCCCCTCTTAACGATCGGTATTTAGTTGAAATCGTTCGTCGATGGAATGTATATATATCGAACAAGAAAACGTTTTAAACGAAACAAATATTTTCACGTGTGAAATTAATTAACGGCGGAATTTAAACACCTTATTCTACAAGTGAAATTTATTATTTTCAAAGAATCGTTTTTNTTTTTTTTTTTTTTTTTTTTCATTCGACACGAATTTTAATCAAGCTCACGCAGTTAAATCGAATCGAGAGAGTGGATTTGTTTATCGTTCGATAAATGTAACGTTTGTAGATTGTTTCAAAATGTTTACATTAGTTGGACGAAGCAATGGATGGATATCGGCCGATTTTCGTTTGGCGTGAAGCATCTCCGTGTGCTTTGTACGTGATGCAATTCGAGAAATTCCAAACTGTCTGGAATCACGAAAGCTCCTCCTCGCCCAGACATGACAGGATGCGTTTCAACGCGAGCAAGGAATTGTTGTAGGCAATATTAGCGCGATCCAATGCGAGACCGTTTTGCAGTTTGTACCGTGATGGTATGTTGCGTGGAGAATTATAGGATTTTCACGTGTTCAATGCCTCGTGAAATATCGCGATTTTCCAAGCGGACGATGCTCACGATGGATGATCAATTAGAGTAGATCCACACGATCTTTAAGAATATTCTTTTTAATAGAGTTGGTTAATTTAATCGATTTAACCGTTTGTTAAAATATTTCTTTTATATATAAGTTAATATTTAACAACTTTTTTCCAATGCATCTTATCCTATGGTGGAATATATTTTTATTCAGCAGCGTTGAAAATTTTAACACGCGGTTATCGGATTATTAAGTCGATGCATATCGTTACATTCTTTTTTTCATTTTCATTATCAAAACATTTGTACGCGATATCGAACAGTGCAAGGATTTAAAAAAAAAAAGAAAAGAAAAGAAAAAACGAGCTCGACTATCGAGCGTGCTTACGAAAAAAGGGAGAAAGGAAAAAAAAAAAAGAATCATTAAGAGGCGCGATGGATTTTCGGTGGAAGCCGTTTTAATTGAAAAATCAATCCGAGGAGAGGCCGAGCGTATCCGAAGCTAAGCCGGCCTGCCATCGATTACCTATTTTTCACGTAAAGCTTTTCATACGATGCCTATAAAACACTGCATTAACGGAATAATTTGTCCAAGTCCCGGCGAAAGAGAGCAAGGAAGAGGGTTCCCTATGCAACTGGATTTCGCATCTGGCGACGGAAAAAGTTCGGCGGGAGAGAACTATTAACAATCTCTATGTAACTGGCGAATTACATAGGGGATGCCGTCAATTTTATTCCATTTTATCCACGCGAATGAGGCAGGGAATATCGGCGAGCTTCGTTCACCACGTGTTTGTTCACGCGAGTTTTGCTTGACTTTTGATGGCGGTGCTCGCCCAACCTTTTGAAATTGTTGCGCACCGCATTATTTTCCACCGGCCACCGCTTACCCGTTCTTCCACTTTTGGACTCGATCCATATCCACATTTTTTCCTTTTTTCTTTTTTTCGAATATGCATTCGTTTTTTCAGAATGATAGATAGAAGGGAGGTACGAGACACCGTTGTTCGCCCATGTTTTTATATATTGAAATTAAAGAAATGAAAGAAGCTAGAGAGAAATTGATATGGGAAGATATTAAATCGAAATGAAAATGTTCTCTATGCTTTGAAAAAAATTCCATGCGAGACCATGCGAGCCTTGCAATTCATTTGAAAGACTAAGTATGATCAAATGACGAGCTTATAAAAATATCCTCGTTAAATCGCCTCCATAAATTCTGACTATGTAGATGAAAACAACTAGAATTGAAAAATTGAAACAACTCATTTCTACCAATTCAAACTCGAACATGTTAAAATACTTAATCTCATTAAACTATCTCCACAATTTTTCACGCGTCGCTATTAAATATATATATATATAATATATATAAATTAAGACAGATGGAATTGAAACGAAAAAGCAATTTTCCAACCATCAAATTCGAATATTATAAAAATATCTAACCTCGTTAAGCTATCTCCTCCTCGAGCAACTTTTGATGCGCCATTGAAGCCGTCGTAGTTTCCAAGTTGTCAAAGATGGATCGCAGCCAGTTTAGACGGTTCCATCCTATTATTCAAAATCAGGCGGTGGAATCTATCGGCGTGCATCCGCATAACAGATGATCGTACAAGGGTGGTGGAAGCGGCGCCATTAAAACGCCATCATCAATCAGAAAAGTCGCGGCAAAGAGCCTTCCTTGCCGCCATTCGCA